GCTGGACACAACACACATGCCTGTGATTCCAGCACTGGGCAGGGTGGGGGGCTGGAGGAGCTTGTGGTTTGCTGGCCAGAGGCTGAGCTGAATCGATGGGTTCCAGGTTCAGCGGACAGGGATTGAGAAAGACACCTGATATTGACCTATGGCACTCGAGAGTACACACACACACACACACACACACACACACACACACTCAGAGGGACCATGGTAGTTGAGCAGGCCCACAGGGTGGAGGCTGAGGGCTTGTCCACAGGCTGCCATAGGCCCCTCCCTGCTCTGCTGGGTGCCTGGCACTCAGAGGCCACCGCCACCTTCCAGGCTAAGCCACGTCATCTTGCTGGTTTGGAGGCTTGGGCCAGTTCAGGGTTTGTGGTTCCAGCAGGTGGTGACCGAGTCAGAACTTTCCGGCCCCACGCTGTGCAGAGGCAGGGTTTCCAGGGTGGGCTGGACTGTCAGGGGATTCCTACCACCTTTACAGGACTAAAGGTCCTCCAGGAACCAGGAGAATCTGCATCTGCAGCTCAGGCCGCTGGGGCTGGGGTGCTTGCCCAAGAGGGGACAGAGCAAAGGCAAGGAAGTTCCCTGGGACCTCAGTGAGGGTTGTTTGTTTTTCACTCGGTTTTCTACGTTGAGTCAATCTGCTTCCTGGTTGCTACTTAGCTCTTTTCCTGATACTTAGGGACAGACTCATACGACATCAGTGGGCACTCAACACATTCCTCTAGCTTATGAGGCAGCCCCCAACACACACGTCACTGCAAAAATCACGTTACTGGCTTCCCGTGGGCTTGTGCTCTGCTGGGTACACAGTGTCTCATTTGATCTTCTAACAACCTCACGCTTAGCTGTTATTAACTCCATCCTACAGAGGAGAAAAGTGAAAATCGGAAATCCTAGCCACCTGCCCAGGGGCACTTAGCTAATAAACTGTAGGCCTGAGGTTCAAACCTCTTGTCCCTGCTCTAGAGCCCAGACCTTCAACTACATCTCCCAGCCTCAGTGGGAACCTGACGAGACACAGGGATACTTGCAGACTCTGTACCTATGTTGAAAGAAGCCGGCCTGAAGCTTGGCTTCTCACGACAGCAGAGGACACACGATGTGCCCAGGACGTGGAAGGACTTGGGTTGAGTCTAGGCTGTTCAGAGAGCACATTATTAAAAATAGCCTTTTTGGAACCTGGGTTGACATTCCTGTGGCTTCTATTTGCTGCCTTGCCGTTTGGCCTTGGAAGTCAGAGAGGGCTCCTCAGGGAACTCATGTGAAAGTGCTTGTCCCCAAACCTGACAACCTGAGTTCAGTGGAAGGAGAGACAAACTTCCCAAAGCTGTTCCCTAATATCTTCATCTGTGGTGGAATGTGCGTGTGTTTGGGGGGGTGGGTGTACGTGTGTACACACACACACACACACACACACACACACACAATACATGTGAAAAAATACATGTAATCGCAGAGTACTAGGGGTCAGGGTATAGTCCAGTGTCAGAGCCTAGCGTTTGCATAGCCCTGGGTCTCATCCCCAACACCCAGAAAACAAAACAAAAAACAAAGAATTAGTGGCCAGCCCTCATTGGTTTGCAGACAAGTCTGGCATCCTTCCGCCTTTTGTCTGTGGGATCGGTTGCTTGTTTCTCTCCAAGTCTTGACTGTGTCCATTGTCTTGCCTGTCTGCAGAATTCTCTGGCTTTGCTCAGGCCAACATCAACTCTCTAGCATGGCCCAGAGAGAGCTGTTAGCAGCTGGCGGTTGGTATCTTGTCCGTCTCTCCTCCCCTGCCTCCACTTAAGAATTTTCTGGAATATCTGGGAAGACCCAGAATACTGCTCCCCAGAGTCCAGAGGTTGGGGTTCTAACCCCAGCTCTTTCGTCTCATTGTGCAATGTCGGGCAAGGCCCTAGGCCACTCCGAGCGCTGGTTTCTTCATCTGTGAAATGGGGACAGAAATACTTGCCCCACCTGACAGGAGGGTGAGGCTTAGCTGAGGTCCTGAGTGTGAAGGCCTTCCACATGCCGGCCGACAGGGACCCTTGGAGGATGCAGGAGGAATTGAGGATGACTGTAGGAGTGGCTGGAGAATCAAAGGTGCCCTAATCATCTCAGGATGCGGACCCAGCATCAGATGCTGCCCATGGGAGTGGAGAGCTAGGTAGGTTAGGGAGCTGGAAATGGAGAGGACATGCCTGGATTCCACAGCCTAGAGTGACACCTCTAGCCATCACCAAGTCCTCAGGGCTCAATGTCGTAACAGTGGGGCCAGACTCCTGGGCTTTTAGCTTTTTCATTTTACTTGGCTTTTGAAACAGGGTTCCATATAGCCCAGGCTGGCCCAAAACTAGCTCTGCAAGCTAAAGCTGATTTTCAACTTCTGATCCTCCTGCGTCTACTTCTCAAGTGCTGGGATTACAAGCATGTGCCACAGTGCCTGGTTTTAATGTGGCGCTGAGGATCAAACCCAGGGCTTTGTGTATTCTAGGCCAGCGTTCCACCAACTGAGCTGAGCAATATTCTCAGCTTCTGTTTCTTGAGGCAGAGTCTTATTATGGATCCAAGGCTTGAATTTGCATGGGGTGTGTGTGTGTGTGTGTGTGTGTGTGTGTGTCAGTGTGATTATTTATGCACACCCATTGCTGAAGCTAGAGGAGTATATTAGGTATCATTTTCTATCACTCTGGGTGGAAGGGTTTCTCTGTGTAGCCCTGGCTGTCCTGGAACCCTGTAGACCAGGCTCGCCCCAAACTCAGAGATCTACCTGTCTCTGCCTCCCAGGTCCGAGCCCCCCATCGCTGCCCACAACACTTGTTACAGAACCTGAACCTCACCATTTCGGCTAGGCTAGTCGACCTTCAAGAGTTGCTGAGGTCTGTCCATCCCCAACCCCTAACACTGGGGTTAGTCGCTTTTACATAGGGGCTTTGAACTCAAGTCCTCTTGCTTTCACAGCAAGCACTCTTAGCTGCTGAGTCATCGCCAACCCCTAGCCCCCAGCCTTGAACCTTTGATCCTCCTGCCTCAGTCCCCTGAGTGACAGGCATGTGCTACCACACCCAGGATACAAAAACCTTTTAAATCACCTCTGGCACCAGGCAGGTTCAGTGGGTGAGCTGAGGAGGGAGCTCCGGAGATGTGAACCCCGGGCTGCATGCAGTTACCAGGTAACTTACTGAATCTTCACAGCCCTCAGAGGCTGGGCTCGGAATTGTGTCACTTCGTGGATGAGGAAACTGAGACAACAAGAGAAGTTTTACTCGTCCAAGTCACTGCAGGGTGGAGGCAGGATTAGAATTCAGACTGACCGGGTCTCCAAGCGGGTGTGCTCCACCTGGCTGCACTAGGGGAAAGGCCAGGATTCAAGCTGACAGCCTCGCCAAGCAACAGCAGGAGGGAAAGGAGGCAGAGACAGAGGGATACCCCCTCCCCCCCAACGCACACACACTACCGCTCATTTCCACTCATTTATTTCGCTGTGTTCACAGCTTATTGAGCATGTGTCAACCTTGCGCTATGTACCCTGGTCACCCTTTGCAGGACCCTGTCCACATCTTGTTAGAGCAAACCCCACGGAGAGCATGCGGCTGGGAGGGAGGGCTTGCAGTTCTAGGGAAAGCCTGCAGAGAGGATGTGGGGAAGGCAGATATCCAGAGAGGGAGGCAAGAAGCTGAAGGACGGCTCTGTCATCCCACCTCTCTGTCATCCCACCTCTCGGGAGACCGAGGCAGGAAGGTTACGAGTCTGAGGCCAGCCTGGGCTACATAGTGAAACTCTATCTGGACACAAGAGCTGGTGTGGTTCCGTTGACGTGAGGGTCACCGGCAGACAGAAGCAGTAGACAGAGGTGAGCAGACAGAAGGAAAAGCATGCCAGGGTGTCTGAGGAGGGAGGGAGGGTCATGACCCAGGAGGGTCCCCCGGGGGATGCCTGAGGAGTTCCCTTTCTTGGCCCAAGTACCTAGTTTATTTCTAGGTATTTCTTCATCGTTTCATGTGTTTTAAATTCACTGATTTCCCACAATTTTAACGCACACACACATATGTGTGAACACATGCTTGAGCACAGCGTGTGACTGAATTCACTGAGTGGGATTTACAGCCATCTCCCATATGAACTGTAGACTCGGTACTGAGTAGTTCATAAAGATAGTGCACTCAGCCCGGCTCGGTGGCACACACCTGTAATCCCAGCACTCAGAGAGGCAGAGGCAGGCGGATCTCTGTGAGTTCGAGGCCAGCCTGGTTCTACAAAGTGAGTCCAGGACAGCCAAGGCTACACAGAGAAACCCTGTCTCAAACAAACAAACAAACAAGCCAAAAACAGCACCCTCCCTGGTGAGATAGCAATATAATTCTAGTACTGGGGAAACTGAGGCAGGTAGACTTGAGAGTGCCAGGCTGTCCTGGCCTACATAGTGAGATCTTGTATCTAGAAAGGGGGTGGGGGCAGAAGAAGAGAGAGAAAGCAGCTGAGACCAGAGTGGGATGCACAGTTCAACCCGGAGGGCATTGCCTCTTTTCCAAAGCAAGAACTTCCTTCCTAAAAAGCACAGAGACCGACAGGGAAGACATCTCCCCCCCAGGTTCACTGACAGAGCATCCGCCGAACTTACTCAAGGCTCTAGCGCAACACCATCCCTAGCGCAACACAGATAAATAAATAAATGAAAAAAAAAAAAAAACCTTTAAATATACAAAACAAAAGAAACACTTCTTTTCCATGATTGCCTGGGAAAATTTGAGCCTCAGCCTCCAGAATTTGCCACACACCCCCTCCCCTTCTCTCTCAGCCCAGCACAAACCACAGAGTGGAGCCAAGCACACTGAGTCAGAAGGGCCTGCTCTGGAGAGCCATCTCTGTGAACACAAGTCAGGTTTTCCCTGACAAGCCGTTTCAACGTGGGCCTCAGTGTCTTCATCCATAAAATGGAGCCAGTAAAACTACACACGCACTTCACAAGTTCTTCCAGAGCCCCAGTATCAAAGGTTCTAGCTAACACTGTGCACATTTCACACGATTTCATGTTTATTTTATTTCTTTTTGAGGTGCGGGGCACAAGTCTTGTGACACACAGGGAGGTCAGAGAACAATTTGAGGGAGCTGGTTCTCTCCTTCCACCACGTGGGGCCTGAGCCATGTTGCTGGCCCACATGGCACACTTTCAGGTCCTCAGGCATCTGTCTCTTACTCCCAACCACTCGATTTGGCGGGAGGAACTCAGAACAAACCCTTAGTCTGACTAAGGAAGTTCCCCTAGCTCTGGCTTCCAGTGTTCCAGCTTGGAGCTGGAGCGTCAGGCCTGAGCTTCAGACTCTCCAGGAGCAAGTTTACCAAGTCGGAGGAAGCCAGGCCAGGGAGGTGGCATTCCAGGCGGCATGTCAGCAAGTGAGTCAGGACTGGGGCGGCCCTTTCTGGGTCCCTGGAGGTGGGGGAGGGCTTGCCTCTCTGGCTCTGGGCCCTGGCTGGGTTGCTCATTTGCATATATCTGCATGTAAGTTAAGTTTCACCTGCTTACATTGGCAGGGCTAGGAAAGACACCTGTGCGGAGAGTTCAAGGCATCCAAGTCTACACGGCTGGCAGCCTGATGGAGCATCAACCCAGAGTCATAGGTCCATGCTAATGGACCCATCAAACACTTTTAAACTTCTGAACCGAACACATAGCTTCTCCCCCCATCCCCCGGTGCTCTCCTGGTTGCCCAAGCCAGGAACTTCAGTCACTCTGGCTCCTACCCTTTCTTGTGACATTCACCCACCGAGTCCGCTTGGGGGTTGTCTTTAAGCGGCCCCTGTCTTGTCTCCCTTCCTTTCGGTTGCCTCTGCCACCTCACCCTTGGGGAGTCCCTCCTCACTGAGCACTTCCATTGCAAGTGCCTGTTCCTCAATTCTCTGCCACCTGGCTATCTTCCCCAATCCAAAGTGGTACCCAAGGTACCCCTGGGAAGCCCCTCTGCTTCCACCGGGGTCCCGCCCTTCCATCACTCAAGGCCATCCTAAGCTCCTGGTAGAGAGACTGAGTCCCTTCACAGTGCACCGCCTCCATTGCTTGCTCCAAAGCTCCCATTGCTCTCTTACCTTGCAGCCAGGCGGGCATAAACTCCGAGTGAGCCTCTTCTATGCCTTGGTCTTCACCTGTGAAGCAAGGATAAGAATAAGATTCCATTACAGGGTTGTGTAGCACGTGGGTTCCCGAGGCGACTAGTCGTTATTAATATTATTTCTTTTCTTACTGCTTTCCAGGGGCCTCCTCTTCCCTCTGAGGACTTCCTCTGTCCTTGCTGCACGCTACTTCTCCAGGGAAGACAGTCCCCTGGCAGTTATGGTAGCCAGCTAGCTAGGGAGTCCAGCTGCAGTTTTTAGAAAGGGTATCTGGCCCCTTTGTGCCTCAATGTCCTCCTTCGTATAAGGGCCAATAACTTGCACATCTGTATTAGATATCGACTTTATCTTATGTAGAAATATTGCAGTAATTAGATAAAGAGAGACGTTCATGTCCTTAGCCTAAGCATAATGCTTGGCACACAGACAACAGAGGATGACGTAATCATTACTGATATCCAAAACACAGGGCTCAAATCCCCTCAGTGCCCCTTCCACCTCTAAGGGCCTGGGACAAGCTCCCCGAGTCCCTCAGTACTGTGGCCAGATACCCCAGGCCTTCGTCAGGATCCTCCAGTGCCCCAAACATCTGGAGGACCAGGACCTGGCCCTCCAGCCCTTCTACAAAGCTACAAAGGTCTCCTTGAGTTGAATGATGGTTGGAAATATAGACTTGGCTCCTTGTCCCCACTAATTCTGAGGCACATGCCATCCAGAACTTGGGCTGCAGAGAGCGAATGGACAGCTGCCACAGACCCCCCCCACACACACACACACACACAGCTCAGGGGCTGGGAGAGCAGTCCAGCTCAGTTGGCCCAAACAGTTGCAAATGTTAACAGCACATTTTCAGTGTGCTCACTTTCCCAAGGAGGCCACAGACCCTTGGCACAGCCAGGACTTCCCTGCCCACCCTAAAGAACTCCAGGCAGGGTGATCCTCTCCCAACTGAAACTGAAGAGGGCCTTCAATGATGTGCTGAGTTGGGGCCCCCCGGAGTGGATACTGGACATACCCTTCTTTCTTCCAGCCAACACATGGGCCTAGGCCCCTCCTCCTCCGGGCCAGCCGGGTGGGAACAGGCTTGAAGGAGAGGGAGGGACACTGAACTGCTCCTAACCTTCCCTTTGTCGCCCCTCTCTGCTGTAAAGTCTTTGGGGGATTTTGTTTGTTGCTGGGGAGGTTGGGTGTTGTTTTGCAGGCATGATTATTTGTCTCATTTGATTTTGCAGGGCTCCCTGGGCCGTTGGAAGTCTGTTTCCTCAGAGCGATAGTCTTCCATCCTCCCAGACCCAGAGCTACCGCGGTGAGGCCAATAGAAGCAACAACCGTGCAGTCCAAATTGGCATCCTGGGATCGCCTGACCTCCTCTTAAATAAAGAGGGAGAGAGAAAAAAAAGTGCAGACCGACAAGGAATCTGACCTCCACCATCATGGAGAAAGCAACAGCCCCCACCTGAATAGAGACCCCACCATCTGCCCCAGGGGGTCTGGAAGGCAAAATGAACCCCGTGTTGGGTGTGTTTAAAAGGAGGTGTGCTCCGGTGCGAGTGAAGTAGCTGTGTGGTGTGGTGTGTGTGGTGTTGTGGTGCTGTGTGTGTGTGTGTGTGTGTGTGTAGGGTCCGGAAGTGGTCGCCTATAAGGGTGTGCGGGTCCGGATCTGTGGGTTCTTCTGTGTGGTGGGTCCCCCTGCACAGCCACAGGCGTCCTCATCCTTGCCTGTTCCGGGCATTTTCCTAGCTCCTTCTTCCAGCCTATGGCTGGCTGGCGAGGAAGAAGAGAGAGCGCCACGTCTGAATTTCCGTGCGGTGCGGGGGTGGGGTGGGGTGGGGTGGGGTGGGGTGAGGTGGGAGTCCGGGTGGGCGTGTCTTCAGGAAGGTGGCGGACCTAGCCAAGACGCCTCCGTTCCGGACCTGGCGAATTCGTTGCAGGCGGGTTGGCCTCGGGCAAGCTCGCAGAGTTCCTGTAGGTTTCTGAAGCTCGCTCTCAGGCTGTCCGCTGCCCATCCGGCTCCCCGTGGGCGCCCCCCACCCCGCCCGCTGGCCTGCGCCATCCCATCCACCCCGTTCTGACCCGGGTCCCACCGGTGGCTTCCTCCCCGAGCCAGGCGCCACCGAAGCACTTTCTTCCAGCCCTCCCGGTTTTCTCCCGGAGAAGGTGTCCTGCTCAAAGAACCATCCACGGTCAAGCTCTTAGCGCTGGCGATTTCGTGCACTTGGTGCATTTAAATTTCCCGGCTCCGCCTCAGGTAGACTCCTTGGAAGTTAAAGAAAACAGGGAGTTCGGAGGTGGGGTAGGGGTGTCGCCAGGGTCTATTTGGGGGTGCGGGGAAACTCTCGCGGGACCGCCCCACACCAAGCAGCGCCTTGGCAGGGGAGCGCTGGCCCCAAGACTTCTCCTTCTCCCCTCCCGACCCACGGACAGCATCTTCAGGGTTGTTTGGAAAATAACACGCAGGAAAAAGGCTTTCGGGGCTGAAAGGGGAAGCGAGCGCGGAGGAAAGCCCCAGCCGGGGACCGCAGAGGCCTTCGGCCGCTCGTCCAACACCGGGGCTCACCAAAGGCTCCATCAGAAAGGGTCCAGGAGAGCGCGTGGTTCCCAGACTCGGGCGAAAGGAGATGAGGGACGCGGGCTCCTTTTTTTCCAGGCCTCCAGAACGCGGGGCTCTGTCGCACTGCAGATGGGGGTCGCGCTTGGATGGGGGTTGCCTCAAGATCGAATTATTATTGTCCTCAAACCGAATTACGAATAGCACGTTAAAGCTGGCTGAGGACAGACAAGCACAAAACCGAGGTTTCACTTGGGAGCCGTGACCACCAAGGACAAAGGCTGGGTGTAAATCCAAAAGCGGCCACCGGGCCCGCAGACATCTGGCGGGGAGTGGGAATCTTTCTTTCCTTGAGCAGAAAGGTTGAGGTGCGGGGTGGACTTGGACTTTCAGAACTCCACCCCGGCTCGGGCAGCACAAGCCTCCCTCTGGGCCCCGCTGAGCCCTGCTGAGTGCTGCTGGAAGCGCTGCGCATTCGCCCTTGTTTGAGTCTGGCCTCGGCTGTGACCTGCTAGGAAACCTCGCTCTTTTGGGTGGTGGATTCGGCCACAGGAGGACTAGAGAGCAGCCACGAGCAAGGGGTACACCCTTCACCCCGCAAATCAGTGAAACCCAAGCCTGAACGGGTGTCATGGCGCAAGCCTTTAATCCCAGCACTTGAGAGGCGGAGGCAGGCGGGTCTCTGTGGGTTCGAGGACAGCCTGGGCTACATAGTGAGTTTCAGGACACCCAGAGCTACATAGTGAGACCCTAGCTAGGGTGTGTGTGTGGTGGGGAGACACACACACACACACACACAAGCTCATGTGTTACTAAGTACCCGGCCTCCCTTCTACCCACACTCCCTACACACCCCCTACTAGCTTCTTTGGCACTGGGCTCTTCAAAGCGGATCGCCCTGAAAAAACACTGCCCCAATACAAGGTAGGCAAGAAAGAAAGTTAGAGGGGAAAGGGGTGTACCTTCGTGAGCTTCGGAAGCTATTTGTAGTAATAGAAAGGGTTATTTGTTCTTCCTCCCTCCTTTCCTTCCCTCCCTCCTTTCCTTCCCTCCCTCCTTCCTTCCTTCCTTCCTTCCTCCCTCCCTCCCTCCCTCCCTCCCTTCCTTCCTTCCTTCCTTCCTTCCTTCTCCTCTGCTCCTTTTCTCCTTAGTTTTATGCTCTTGGATTCTAGACTCTTGGATTTATGTTCTTGTATTCTTACACACCGACATACAGCGAAGGGTTGGAATCCCGGGTGCTTTCTACGAGTCTGAGCTGGGACGGGGAGGCTGAGCTGGGACAGGAACTGAGATCTTTCCTTTCTCCTCTAGCACTGTCCTCCCTCGCTCTCATGCCACCACTTCTTTTCCTAAGGTTGAGAGGATGATTCTGTTTTGAGGTGCCCACGATGATGCCCAGGTTACCCAGCCAGGGCTCCTCATCCTTTGGAAGGTGAAATGTGGCTGGTGACGGTGGAGGAAGAGAGAGACAGCCACTACCTTCTTAACAGGGTTTTTGGGAGGCTGCATGGAGCTTATGAATTCCACGGGGCACGAGTACAGGGTTCACTCCTTGGGAGTGTTCCTAAGCACATAGGAAAGCTTAGAGGGAGCATTCACAAAGGACCTTACTTTGGAGGTGATCCCAAAGCCTACCTCTGCCCTTCCTCCAGCACAAGTCCTGCACAGAAAGGACGCTGAAGGTGTCCTCCATTATCCTTTCCATTTGAGCTATAAAACACCTCCTTCTGAAACCTGCCCTGACAGCCAGCCCCACCTCAAAGGGCATTCTGTTTCTTTGATTCATGCAGCCAGAGAGGCCATCCCTGGAAACATCATGGCAGCCTTCCTGCTGAAGAGCAGGACAGCCAGGAGGGAGTGGCGCATGCCATTAACCCCAGCACTCAAGAGGCAGAGGCAGGTGGATCTCTGGGTTCAGTTTGAGGCCAGCCTGGTCTAGTTCCAGGACAGCTGGGGCTACACAGAGAAACCCTGCCTCGAAAAACCAAAAGAGTAGGAGGGTGCTAGAGAAAGGAAAGGGTTGGGGAGAGCAATAGCCCCAGCTCTAAGGAGAGAGCCACGGCTGGAGCCTGGGGAAAGGGTGGTTTCATGCGGAAACTAAGCAAACTTCCACAACTTCTCTAGCCAACCAGAAAAAGAGGGTCTCCTACAGAGCCCCCTCCCCTCTCATCAGAGCCCCAGGATTACAGGGTAGGGACCTCTACAGCAGTGGAAATCAGGCATTTTCTTGGCCATTTGGGGTGCGGTGGGGGTAAAAGCGGGTTATTTCTCTCCCGTCCCGATATAATCTCTTGTTATTTGCTTGTTTGTTTCTTCTTATTTCATCTCTATGGGTGTTCTAACTAAGCACTACACACATGCTTGGTGCTAAGAGAGGCCAGAAGAGGGCGTCAGATCTCCCTGGAACTGGAATTGCATATAGTTGTGATCTGCCATGTGGGTGCTGGGAACTGAACGGGGGGGGGGGGGTTGTCCTCTGGATGAGGGATGAAGCAGCCAGTGCTCTTAAGCACTGAATCACCTCTCCAGCCCCAGACTTTGTTTTAGAAGGTTTACTTTTGCCCCCCAGCCTAGGGCCTTCATCTACTTGCCTTCCTCTCTAATAGCTGTCCTCTTTCAGCTACTCAACACCCCAAGATTGCTACCTTCACTCTGAGTCCTGATAGTGTCTCTGTGTGTGTGCACAAGCAGGAATGAAGATGATCTGTGTGACAGAAGGCTGGAGTGTGTAGGTTTTCTGGGGAAGGTGTGAGGGCTTGTGGACTAGACGGTAGAGCTGGGCAGTGGTAGGGTATGCCTTTGCCTTTAATCCCAGCACTTGGGAGGCAGAGGCAGGTGGATCTCTGAGTTCGAGGCCAGCCTGGTCTGCAGGGTGAGTTCCAGGACAGCCAGGACTACACAGAGAAATCCTGCCTCAGAAAACCAAACCAAAACAAAACAAGGAACTGTCTCTCTCGTGTGAAGCAGCTTAGATGTGTGGGGAAAGGTATCTTCCGTAGGGTAGGTCGTGAGCGTACATGCTCAAATGCCTGGATAGCCTAATCTTTGAGAACAAACATCAGTGATTTGGCTTGTAATTCGTGGGGTTATGTAGAAGGTAAGTACGGTCCTTTTTAAATTAAAAATATTTCACTTGTTTTTCTTTGCGCCATGTGTACGTGTGTGAGTCCACACATAACAAAGCCCACACGTGGAGGTCAAGAGACTAGCTCTTTCCTTCCATCATACGGGTTCCAGGAATCCAACTCAGATTGTCGGGGTTGATGCCTTCATCTGCTGAGCCATCTCAACAGCCTTAATATTATGCTTTTATTATTCAAGAGCTGCTCGTGTTTGTGTATGTAGCTGTATACACCCCACACCTAAAATCTGTGTTTTCAGGTCCATGAATAATATTGTTATATGATCATATACGTCGGGTGAAATCCCTGTGTATTTTCCCACATGTGGCAACAGATGGCTGCATGTTGATCAAGGCCTCGTATTCTACTGTCTAGAGGCAGAGCCTGGAAGCACAAAGGAGCTAGCCATATTTTCTGTGCCCTCCCAGGAACCGTCAAACCAGCTTCATCTCCACTCCCATGTTCTGTCCCAGTTCATGCGAGGCTACATTTTGGGCAGAGCGAGCGCCAGGAAAGGCGGGGCTCAGTACTGGCGAATCCCAGACAGCAGATTCCCTCCAGCAGCCCCAAGGGCCTGCGGGGAGCTACGGTGTCGCAACCAAACCGGGGCCCCTGCCGGAAGCGGAACCGTGCATCGGGGGTGGTGAGGCGCAGTCGCGGCGTGCCAGGCCCTGGGCACCCGGCGAGGGCGTGCGCGCCACGCGCGTGCAGGGCAGGCTGGGCGCCGGGGCAGCACCCTCCACGTCCCAGCGTCTGTTTACCAACAAGCTGCCATGGCTCGACAGCTCCGCATTCCGACGCGCTGAATAAGCGGCCGGCGCTGGCGATCTGCTTTCCCACTCCCTCGCAAAGCCGTGGCAGCGTGGGGCCGTGCAGACGCGCAGGAGAGCGCGGACACGGGTTCCGAGTCCCCGCAGCGTCTCCGGTCACCTCGCAGCTCAGTCGCCCTTTAGCCATCCCAGGCCCGATTTCCTAGCACTTTGGCCATCGTGACCCCAGATTGCCCGACTCTACCCGTGTCGCCCTAGACTCGGGGACGCCCAGCCCGGAGCTCCGGCTGCTCAGCGCCGTTTCCCGGTGCGCGCTAACCGAGATGGGCGGGCCCAGCTCTGAGCCTCCCTGAGGTCACCCTACCATAGCCAATCCCGGCTGTTTGTCTTAAGTGGGCGGGGGGGGGAACCCCGTGGGGTCCGAGGAACCCAACCCGGGGGGAAAAGATGGGAGCCCAGAACTTAGTGGGGGAGGGGAAGAGCCACGGGGCACCCCCAAAATCCCTTTCTCAGGTGAGAGCTCTCCGCCAGAAGGAGACCCAGAGAGACACCCCCCACCCCCACCGGGATCTGAAGTGTGAGGGTTGCTTGCTGGGGCTGGAGACTTTCAAAGGAGTTGGCAGAGAGAGTAGACGGTGTGCCGGGCCATGACCCTGTGGCCGGGCACCGCAGTGACCTCTGTACCCTCTCCCCTTCCTGGCCGCGGTGCCTCCAAAGCTGTCTTCCCAGACCTTGTCCCCGCCCCCTCGGTAGTGGCTGCTGACCCGCTTGGCCTTTACCCGGGAACCGCAGCCTCCCCCGATTTGTCCCACTCCCAGCCGTCCGGCCACCTCCTGTCCTTTTCCTACCCTGGGCCAACAGCCCCAGGACACTCCTACCTGCCCGGCCAGCAACTCTCAGCCGCGCCTTTTCTCAGCCCCGCCACCGGCCGGACGAACACCCGCAGGAACTCGAAGCAGGTGAGTGTGGCCTCGGCGGCTGTTCTTATCTCTGGGGGCTGGGTTGTGTTTTCATAAATTTCGCCCTCTTCTGATGGCACCGCAGCGAGCGGGATTCAAAAGTTCCTCGGATTCCCTGCGGAGTCTGGGGGAGGGGGGAGGGGGGAGGGCGGAGGGAGGGGAGGAAGGGAGAGGAGGAGCGGAGGCGAGTCGATCTAGGTCTCCTTTTTGAATCCGACCTGGTTTCGATTTGCAGTTTCGTAAAGCCGGGCAGGAGGGCTCCCCACCCCACCCCCTGGGGCAGTGGAGGTGTGTGTGTGCGCGCTTGTGTGTAACGGAAAACTGCCATAATCCAGATGGAGGGGTTGAGACCCAGCCCCTTCCCCGTGCTTTTCCTCATCTTTCACTCCTTTCCCGATATCACCCTTCTTGTCTCAGAAACCAGTAGGCAAGCCAAACACTGCTAAACAGAAATCAGTTCCCGGCTTGAGGTAGGTAGACAGCTAGGCGGGGTTCCTTCGCCTTTCCTGGGCCCCACCCCCTTTTTCCTAGAGGTGCCTAGCTCTGTCTGGTAGTGGCCCCTGCAGAATCTGGGGGGGGACCCCACCGACTCTTGTCCAGAAAACAGAGTTACAGGCTGGTCTTACCCTTAACCACCCCTAACCATCTTCACATTAAACTTTGGAACAAATTAGTCCCGGCTCCTGTTGCCTGCGGTGTAGCTGAGCTCCAGAGATAAGTGGAAGACTTCAGTGAAGGCAAGGGGCTAGCTGCCCTTCCCAGCCCTGACTTTTGCATAGCTGAACTGAGAGCCCAGGGCTGGCTGGCAGTGCAAGGAAGCTATCCATAGACCCACTGACTCCTCAACCACACCTCTTTTGCTCCAGTTATCCCTGGCATGGTCCCCAAAGATGCCCATCCTGCCAGGTGACATCATTGTAGCCAGCCCCAAACCAAGATATTTCTCTCCTTTCCACTTTGTCATTCTGACATAAATAAATGAGCACCCGGAACAGGAAGTCACACTAGAATAGGGGCTCAGACTCCTTGTTTTATGGTTGGAGAAACCGAGGCAAGGAGAAAGGATGCGTATAGATCAAGGAAACAACTTTTCCAGGCTCTTGGACGAATGGAGGCAGCAGAGGGGACTTTGGGGGGGAACCTCTCAGGACCCCGGACAGTCAACAGCCTTCTGTGGCCGGGTGGGGGATGGGCCTGCTGGGTTGCTGGGTCTGGTTGGAGGAGGGGGGGGGTGCAGAGTTTTACAAAGAAGCCTCTTGGACTCTTCTTTTTTTAGATATGCTAATATACACTGGGGAAGTAGGAGCAGGAGGATCTTGAGTTTGAGGTCCGCCTGGGCACCCTGTTATATATGGTGAGTGGGCACATGGGGACAGATGTGGGGTTTTTTGTTTGTTTGTTTTTGTTTTTTTGAGAATGGGGGAGAAGAACCTGACCTTACCCTTGGGAGAAGTTTCCTAATAATAAAGTGGAGTGGTCCGGTTTGTCTTCCATATTCTTGCCTTCCCTTGCTTGGTCCAAGAAAAAAAAAATGGAGTGAAGAATTCTATTACACGCTTTACCCGTATCCAACGAAGAAGAAAAGAAAAAAACAACCAAGACGCGTTCACGACAAATATGGCTTTAAATAGACCGTAGCGTTTCGGGATTGGAACTCTGCCCTTTCCTGAATGAACGGTTAGAGGATGAGAGAGGGCTTGGGGTGTCCCACACCCACACTCCGTGTGCGCCTCCGTCCCAGGGAGGCGCTTGGCTCAAAGAGAGCTTTACCAACACCCCATTGAGGCCGCGGGTGCGGCGGCCGCGCCTCCAGTGAGGCCCTGGGGACCCGTTATCGCGACCGGGGTAGATCCAGTTGTGACTTGCCACAAGCAGCGTAGAAAAGGCACCTGGAAGGTGATCGCTCGGCGAGAGTTCGGCAGTCCAGGCTGTCTGCCTTCGCTCTCTGCGAACTGCCTGGCCCGTGCCGCCGAGGAGGCGGCGGGTGGTCGCTTGGCCGCCAGCCCCGGGCGAGCGATGGGTTTACCAGCAAGAGAGGCGCGGGCGGGAGCGGAAACCCGATGGTTTTTCTGGGAATTGGCGGAGGCTGGGATCGCAGGGGCAGGATCTGAGAGCCCGCAGCCCCCAAGGGTTGCGGTGAAGGGATGCGGGGGAGGTGAAGGCGGTGGTGACCGCGATGTGAGGGCAGGGACCCTGACGTGTGTTGGGTGAACCTAGCTAGGCGTGGATGGGACTGAAGCTGTGCTGGCAGCCTGGGTACGGGGGAGGGGAGGGACGTTTCACCTTCTGTCCTCAGCGGTTCTCACAGCAGACCCCCACGGAGCGAGGGGACTGTCACCCGAGCATTTTGTCATCGGGATCAAGCAATTTGCCTCCTCATTCACCCACCCCTCATCTTCCTGGACAGCGGGCCCAGGTTTCAGGAATGGAAACCCAAGGCTCCAGTCCTGGCACCACAACGCGCAGCAGATTCCTGGAGAACCAGGCCGGCAGTGGGAATGGGGTTGGGGGTGAGAGACACACCAGGTCCTATGCCACAGCGCACATTGTAGCGATTTCTGGACCCGAGTCACTTTCCCTGCCACTAGGGAACCGCTCTTTGCGACCCAGAGGGAAAACAAGGCAACCAGGCATCAATGTGGCTTCTAGGTCCCTGAAAAAGCCTCCCCTGAGCCAGCCAGGCCAAGGGCAAGAAAAGGATAGTCGCTTTTACTATGCCTTGATGTTAGCATTCAAGGCCGATTTCTACAAGACCCCTTGGCAGGGCAAAGTTCTCTTTGAACTTTTTTTTTTTTTTCTGAACTTCAAAGTATTACTTTTAGGTTCCTTGAGTCTTGGGTGTGCTGCCCTGCTCTTCTCCAGGGCAGTCTATTCCAATCAGGCCCTACCCACCGACCTCCTACTGCAGGAGCTAGGGTACCCTAACTTGGACCCTTAACGTCTTCTGCTCCCAGGTCCCATAGTGTTAGCTTCAACAGGACAAGGAATACAGCTTAGATCAACTGTTGCTGGACTTAGAGTTGAAACTGGCAGAGAGACAGGCAGGGTTCCCCGCCTCCCCCTCCCCCCCACTGAGAATGGGTGATAGTGGAGCCTGTGTTGTTTTTGCTGTTTTTGCTGTGCAGTGAGATTGTGAGAATGGCCTGACTCACCTCGTCACTCCACATGCCTACAGAGAACCCGGTGCTGGTGCTGTCTCCAGGGTCCTCCCAGCAGTCCCTGACTGGGAAACTGTGCAAGCCTAGAACCATTTACTCCAGCCTGCAGCTGCAACACCCAAACCAGCATTTCCAGCACACACACTACCTGAGCCCTGCCTGGGAGAGCTCAGCTGGCAGCGCAGCTTGGACTCATCCAAACCCAGGTAGGACCAGCTCCATCCCTGCCCCGGTGCAAAGCTTCCTAGCCTGTGCTGTCTGAGAGCTCACAGAGAAAGTCCCATGATCCTGCCAACACAGCTTGTTAAGGAGTGCCCATAGCTGGTCAGCAGCAAGGGCTGACGGGGGGGGGGGGATGTATTAGAGTTAGAAGAGTAAGAGTAGAGAAGAACAAGAAGAGGAGGGCATCCAGTACAGAAGCTGAGACTGAGGCACTTCCAGAACTGGAGGGTTAGAGCCAAGGTTCCCAGGACTCTGTCTCTGTAGCTCCGTCTCTTTCCCTTTTTCACCCTCTTTCACCGACACCCCGAATCTGTTCCCATTTCCTCTCGAAGGTAAAGATCTGGTTTCAGAACAAATGCTCCAAATACAAGAAGCTCCTGAAGCAGAGCTCTGGGGAGGCAGAAGAGGACTTCTCTGCAAGACAGGCCTCTCTGTCTCACTGCTCTACAGTCTGCCCCAGGATCTACTACCCCAGGCAGGCTCCCTGCCTACCAGTGGCTGTGACAAGAGCTTTGGAGCCTGGTATCAGCCTCGCTCCCCAGATGTGCTGGCGCTTTCTCAGATGATGTGAGTCTGGAGGAAGGCTGGTCAGGCTCCAGACCTCCTGTCAAACCCAGGGCCCCGCACCTGCTCCCCTTCTGGGAGGAAAGGAAACCAGCTCCAGATGGATTTTCTCAGAAGATAAGAAGCTAAAGGAGAGAAACTGAGAGAGAGAGAGAGAATAGTCTAAGCCTGGCTCTCCAAGCCAGATGGCTGAATGGGGGATTCAGTCTTTGCAGTGGTCCCCGGTGCCACCACTGACTGGACACCTCCCTCCCTCCCTCCAGGAGAACAAAGGCTCCAGAGAGAGCTTCCCTGGCTAGCATTTAGATTGCCACAGGCTTGTCACTCTTTCCCCCTTCCAATGACTGCAGCCCACCCCAGCCTAGGCTCCAAACCAGGAAGAAAACAAAGCTATTATTCCCGGCCTGCACCTTGGGCCCTGGCAGCCCTTCCATGAACAAAACCACAAGCGGACACAGAGACTCTGTTCTTGGCCACTATAAGGTCCCCAACTTTCACCTACTAATTATCAGTGGTGGTCCAATGGTGGAATAAGCGTTTAACATGTAAGAGGCCCCAGCACTGAAACAAAAATAGGGAACGTTGGCCAGTGTGTGCTTCTCTCTTTTCAAAGGTCCTCTACCCCCAGATCTAGCCATTTTGAGTGGGTAAGTCATGAGCTTAATCACCCATCTAATTCAACAGGTCTGTATTAAGAGCCTAGGCCCACTACTTTCCATCCTTGATACTTGACAAGTCCACCGTCCACCTACACATATTTTTGGAAACCCAGAAGGAAGAATGGACAAACAGATTCTCTGGCTTAGTAGGGGCACAGCTGCCCCCCCCCAAATAATGGGGTAGCCTTGGCACTTCAGGTTCCTCTCAGTTGCCTCTATCCAAGAAACTGCGCCAATTCACTGTTATTCTGTCCAGCATTTCCAGGGACTTGGCGTCTCTCAAATCACAAGCTTCAGAGACTAAAATGTATACAACCCCCCCCCCCCCCGGAGTCCCTAGGGATAGATAGACATGATCGTCTCCTGGGTTCTTCCGGGTTGGAGCTGGTTGCTCATCTCTTCTCTCTCATCTGACCCATTCTCCCCTTGACCAGAAGTCATAGACACTATTCCTTTTTTCATTAATGATTTATTTATTTATTTATTTATTTTTATAGGCATTGATGTTTTGCCTCCATGTATGTTTGTGTGAGGGTATTGGAACCCCTGAAACTGTAGTTACAGACAGAAGTGAGCTGTCATTTGGGTGATGTGACTTGAACCCAGGTCCTCTGTGGAAAAGAGTATCCATTTCTCTTTACCACCGAGCCCTGTCTCCAGCCCAACACTAGATTTCTGTTATACTTCTGCCACCAGCTAGCTTTGGGGCTCTATCTCTGGAATGTCCTAACAATGCCCATGGCTTCATATGAAACGGGAAGAGGCTCATATAGGGCATGGCCACTGTCAGAGAGGTCGTCCCCAGCACACGGCTCCTGGTCCAGTTGTGGAAGGACTGAGGCACCTCACAGTTACCTTGTCCTGCCTTTTCAGTCCAGGCTCACCTTGAGAGAGGAATGAGCTAGACTAACCCTTCTGGAAGAACTGAGCTGCTGGAGGTGGAATGGCTTTAGCCTATAGAAAGGGGTAGGTGAGGAAAAGCACTAGAAAGAACTGGAATTCTCCATCTAACATCTAGAGATCTCCTGCTGGGTAGGTCCTGGGGATACCACCCTGACCGAGACAGATGCTTTGAGCTAACATGTGGCTGAATGGATGGCTGGAGGCAGTGTGACCAGAGGCAGAGGAAAAGCAGGACAGAGGCCATGTGGGCACTGCCCAGAGGCTGTAGTCCAGTGTGGGCTGGTGGTTTAGGGCTGAGTGGGAAGGCTGGTCGGCTCCCAGAGCATCAGGACCTGGCAGCACTGTGATTCACCCATGCCATCGCTCCCACCGCAAAACAGCTTGGGGGTGGGTGGGCTGAAGACAGGGCCAGTCATTCAGGGAATTCAGCCCGGAGTGGCCCCAGGGGCTGGGGAGGGGCCTCCGATTCCAGGCAAAAGGCTTCAAAGGCTAACTTCTCTCTCACTGCCTGAACCTGTTTTCAATCGCGGCAAACTGAGGGTCCCAGTCCCTGGCTGAAAAGCCCAGTGGGGCACTTTCAGCCAACCCCTGAGCTAGAAAGAAACTTGGTTTGGGGTCATAGGGAGGACAGGGAGTATCGCATTCGCATTCGGTGGCAATGTCGCACCTAGGGATGCCTGCGAGCATTCCTTCTTTCATCCACTAAATAGCAGTCACACCCAGGCCCCCAAAGACACATGAGAGAATCCCTCCGAGGGCAGCAAATGCCAGCTCCTAGAGATCATAGAACAGTGTGGAGTGAGCACGCCCGCTGGAGGGATCCCCTTCCTCTATCTCCCTTTCAAAACCTCCCCGGTCCTTGGACCACTGCTCCGTGGCTGTAGGGGTGGCTGGCCCCAGAAAGCTCCTCTGGGTCTTCTCTGAGGCCAAGGGCCCTGGGGGAAGCTGTTCCCTGCCATGCAAGGCTACACACTCCTCTTTCCACTGAGCAAGATAAGATCTACCGCCCCATCTCGGAAAGCCTCCAAAGGCAGATTAATTGGACAGCCCAACACGAGTCGCATCGTTAAAACAACAGCCCGGGTTGTAAAGTTAAGTAGCAGAAGCGTAATTGCTCTCCCAGCCAGCGACCAGCTGAGCCTGAAGGCACCCCTGCCCTTACCCCCATGTGCCCTTTCCAGGGAAAAATGAGTCTCTATTCCACTTGGGAGCTGGTCCAGTTGCCTCGGACTTCTAGGTGGTGGTGGGCTTGGAGGAATCCCAACAAGGAAGGTGCCTCACCTGCATCTGGGAGCCACCAGGGTTACTGAAGGGAAACCCCAAGGTTTCTTCCCAGGATGAAGCTCCAATGGGAACCCTGGATCCATAAAGAAAAGGGAAGACTGAGGGTAGACTTTGGTCTCTAAAGAGTCCCAGCAACGGTCACTTGCTCTGTGCAGCCCTGGCTGTCCTGGAACTCACTCTGTGGACCAGGCTGGCCTTGAACTCAAGAGATATGCCTGTCTCTGCCCACCAAGTCCTGGGATGAAAGACATGTGCCACCACCACCACCTGGCTTGCTGGGTGTCTTAACCTCTCTGTGCTTTATTTCTTATTTCCTCAGACGGGAACGATGATAGCATTTGCTCCGCCATACGGTTGTGATGATGAAATGAGAAAGTGCTCCTAACAGCTTTGACACACAGTGCCCAGAACGCAGTAAGCGATTTATAAAATGACATTCGCATCTGCTGCTGTGGTGACAGGAGGGCACAGCTCGCCCTGAGGGTGAGTAGTTCCTGTAGCCATCGAGTCACCTCCTGCCTAAGCCCAGAAACCTGGCTCCCCAGGGTAGGGAGGAAGGAAGGGGCTGGAGAAACAAACCAGCACATTGAAGCCAGCACTGTCGGGGAGCAGAATGTGGGCAAGGTCCCCGGCTCAAAGTGGGCAGTATGTGACCATCTAAAGTCAGCTGAGGCTGCAGAAAGAGCGGCGTGTCCAGGGGTCTCGGCCACAGGAAAGCGGCCTCCTTCTGGGCAGCTCACCGCACCCCCATCCCAGTCCCATACTCCTCTGTACTATTTTAAGGTATGCCCCCCATTCTCTCCCCAAACCAAATGAGATTCAATTAATTCAATTAAAGCAATTTTGGAAGCAGCTCCTGAAGGCTTTGGATGTGAGATAATTACCAGTAATTTGCTTCTGTGAAGAGGAAAAGGTTACACGGGGTCTAGAGTGGGGAAGGAGGCAGCCCCCCTCTCCTCACCAAATGCACCCAGATCTAGAAGGATTCCACACAGCAATCTTAGCTGCCCTCCCATTGGCCAAATTGCTTGCAGGTGGGAAGAGGGAGCATGAGGCAGTGGGAGGGGGGTGGGAAGACCCTGGAGTGACAGGCTGCCCCTCCTCCATCCCTGAATCTGTTGTGCCTGTGTGAGGTGGGGGTGGGGAGCTGCTCCCCCCCCCCACACACACACACACTCTAGGGCTTCATAGCTATAGCAGCTGATTACTCAGCCCAGGCCTCACTCGAGTTTGGATGCCTGGGCTTGCCTCTGGGATTGGATCCAGAGGCGATGGAATGTTATCCAGGTAGCTGAGGCCTGTGTAGACGGAGCTTTGGAGATCAAGGACTTTCCTAGAATTTATAGGGGATATGGGCCAATGGGGCCAGAACCACTGGAGGTGGACAGTGACTGGCTGGCCTGCTCCCAAGTATCAGGAGGTTCCCTTCCACAATCTCCCCCCTCCCCATACTCCAGTACTTTCTGGTTCTGCCTAATCAAAATCCCTTCCATTGCCTTGGTGGCAGTCCACTGTCAGCTTTCTGGCCCCCGGGCCACTGAAGCCTCTTCCTTCCCAAAAGCGTATTACAGGTATTTCTTTCCCCCTCCTCACTTTGCCTGAGAGAGGCCTTTCCTTGCCAGGCCTCAGGTAGCCTAGAAGCTGAGGAGGGTATAGCTGGGTAGGGGGAAGGAAAAAGCTAGGGTGCCTCTTTCCTTGGGATCCCATGTTTCAAGACAGGATGATTTAATAGTTAGGACGCATGAGAAAAGGTCACTTGATGGTCCTGGCAGTGGTGTCCCACATCTTTAATCCAAGAACTTGGGAGGCAGAGGCAGGCAGATATCTGAGTTGGGGGCCAGCTTGGTCTACACAGTGAGTTTTAGGACAGCTAAGGCCAAAACTGAGAAATCCTGTCTCAAAAAAAAAAAAAAAAAAAAAAAAGAGGAAGAGGAGGAAGAAGAAGCCACTCATCCAGAATTGTCTATCACTTCGCATCTTCTACCTGAGCTCCTCTTGTTCCCAGAAGGGGTTCTTCAGCTTTTTTTTTCTCCCCATGGCACCCAGTATAACCCTTCTCCTAGCCAAAGGACTGTTGGAGGTGAGGCCAGGGAGGAATTCCCTCAGCGAGTCCTTGGTGCCCTCTGCCTCTTCACAGTGGCCAAGCTCAGAGAGAGAAGCCTGCATCTCCAGCACCCCATGCCTCCACCTCGAAAGCTCCAACCAGCTCGCATCCAGTACAAATGAAGGGGTGCAAAGACACTGTCGTTCCAGAGCTCATGTTGACAGGCAGGCCTAAGGATCCTAGCACAGGGATTAACTCGAGTGTTAGAAGGTAGAGACAAGAGGGTCAGTACGTACCAAGTTCAAAGCCAGCCTGGCCTACGTGGGACTCTGTCAAGGAAGGAAGGGAGGAAGGGAGGAAAAGAACATTTATGAAAAGAGGCTGGGTGTGATAGTATATGCCTTTAATTCCAGCATTCTGGAGTCCCGGGCTAGCCAGGGCTACATAGGGAGGTCTTGTCTCAAAAGTAAATTAAAAATAAATAAACAAATATTTAAAAAAAAGAAAAGAAGTCTGCAGTTTCTCTGTCCCTCTCCCTCTGTCTGTGTGTGCATGTGTGCAGGAACATGGATCTCCTATTTCTCTCCTCTGGCCTTTCTCTTACCCCATTTTTTTTTTTCCTAGCTAATATTTTCTACAAATGTCTTCCTAGGTGCTGCTGGGGAGGGAGGCCGATGGCCTTTGCTAAAGGTAGG